CTCTCTCTCTCTCTCTCTCTCTCTCTCTCTCTCTCTCTCTCTCTCTCTTTCTGTCTTAATTTTCATTTTATTTATTTATATCATTTCGAAAAAAGTCGTCTTTATTCTCTGTACAAAATTATATTCAAAAAATGAAACGCGTAAATACTTTTTCACTCGCGGTATGATCAGCATTCTTTAATTCTCATTCTTTATATATTTTCCTTCAATTTAATTAAAAGTAGGAGATCTTTTTCAATTCTCTCGGAAACTTTCAATCTTTTTATCATTAAATATTTCTTCAAGTTTGTATAACGCGATATTTATTAGCATTGGGATGAGTAAATATGCCACGACAATTTGTTCGACATGTCCCGAGGGAAGGAGTATCAGAACATTCTTGAGGCTCGTAGTGATTTTCCAGCGCAGCATCCAGCCGGCTTGTCTCGCAATCCCTCGCTCGAATAAAAGTCCTCGTGTCTTAGTCTCTTGGCTTCCGATACCGAAAATTCCTCCGCGTAAACTGGATTACATTCGCATTAAACAACGACCATTTGATATAAACCATTCACAGAATGCTCGTCCTTCGACAGATTAAGTTGCATTTATTTGCTTTTTTTTTACGCATGATATCCTACACGAATATCCTATACGTATCGTGAAATTGATAACGGAACCGGAAGTTGAATCACGCAACGACCAACTATGCTTATCGTTGGCACGATATTTCACGCGTAATGTATATACGGTCGATCAATGATGGAACCTCTAACTATATCACACATGTGATAGATACGCTTTGATGTTCCTTAAATACAGAGATATTCTGCGGTATTTAGATTTTACGCCGAATATATTCTGGCATTATTTTATTTACCATGTCATAAGATAAAAATATTGCTTGCAATAACATATATTGATGTAATTTTACATACATGGAGTGATAAACAAATCGATTCGTTACTTTTACACCAATATTTTTTAAGTAATCACAACTAATAATCCAAATAAAAAGAAACACACCAATCAACTTTCTTCTTCGAGAAAAGATATTTTATAATAATTAAATAAAAAAATATTATAGCATAAGGAATATTTTAGAAAAAAAAAATATATATATATATATAATTTGATTACATGAATTCTTGAAATTATTATTTGTATTAAGAAATATATAAAAAATGCTTTTCTAGATAAAAAGACGAATATAAAAAGATAGATTATATAGATGTTACATTAATTAAATTAATTAATGAAATTAAGATCCTGAATAGGGAGCGTTTTCTAAGGAAGAGACTTGTCTCGGAAATGAGTACACATTAAAAATCAAGTTAACAGCCTCAACCTGCAAAAAAATATAGAATTTTTACATCACGTTTACATCTCAATCATACAAAAATTGTAAATATTTTTCTTATCACCGTTTATTCATCCTTGTTTGTGGCTGACGTATTATATTTATCTGACCTTACAATTATTTTTTAACCGCTCCGTCACTTTATCGGCTTGACTCGTGGTGACCACACGTATTTTTAATTCAGCTATTTTAATTCGATTATTTTTAATTTGGTCATTTTTTTAATATTTTTAATTTGATTATTATGTCTGTTGTGTCGCCTTACATATAAAAAACGTGCTTTCCAACCCGACTGTTATCCGACTGCAATCCTAAATGTCTGACAAATGATTGGATATGTGCGTGTTGAGTTGTCAATCGATGATACTCAAATCTCACTTCTAATTCCTTACAAGTAATGAGCTTTGCTCACACAGATGCTCACATAGGTAATCTATTGATTGGCCTTATGCTAACCAGCCTGAAAACCGTTGTGAGCATCCACCAACATTCAAATCTACGAATGACTGTTGCCACATGAGACACATAAAATCAATCACCACGGCTATATGTGATATCTATACTTGTAATTTTCCGAATTTTTTTCGATTTTATTCTCGCTGAAGATGGCTCAATACAGAGCCGAAACTACCTTTATACTATTCGATCTTATATTAGAAATTTTTATCTCGGTGTGTTAAACACAAATTATATTATATTTTTTTAACAAACGTTTGTCACGCACCAATTAGCGCGTTGGACTCTTATAATTTTCGACATTAAATATTGCGCTAATAATTACAAGTGCTATTAACGAAATGAGATGCAGCGTTCTTGCTGGATTCGCGATTCTGGAAGGGATGGATGCTCCGGGACACCTCCAGGATTTCCTTCGCCGGCGATAGGGGCGGTATGCTGCGTGCGTAGTCAGCGTGGGGCTGTTACGCTCTGTGTCTCGGCGTCACAAGTATTGATCCTCGTGGAGAGCCACTACGTGAATGGATTTCGGCTGTCTCGCACCGCACCGCAGAATTTCGTATGGTCCTCCCTCCGTCACACACGTTTCCATCTCCTCGTGATCTCGAGTCTCCCCTTTAGCCGAGGGCTTTTTGTGTTTCGCTGCTCGTCACGGCGCGATACCACCCCCGCATATTACGTAGCCGCCGGTATCACATGACGCAGGCACCGTCACTTATTTGTTACGTATCACAGATTTGTTGGTTTCAGCTCGCGTGCGAAAGTACAAATTGCTTTTTCATCGTCACCTGCGGAGAGCGTCGAGGAATAATGCAGACGTACTCTTTCGGCAAAAAAAGTATGATTTTCCGCAGCTCAAAATAATATCTATTTTTTTTTTATAATATTTATTTTTTTTTTCTCGGTAAAAACGTCGAGATATAAATGATATTTTAATATCGCCGCTCAAAAGAGAAAATAAATTTTATAACTTCAAGAAGTAATTTAATCTTTCTTGAACTATATATATCTTTGAAATATGTATGTTTCCGTTGGCTTTTCTTGCTTTCCTGATATGTCTCAGAAAAATTTTAATTCTTCGCTTCCCGAAAGACTGTTCTTTTAACCGTTTTAAGAGAATTTATAATTTATCTATATAATATTTCGATTTAATCTATATATAAAATATTCAATTAATAAATTAACTCAATACTTTGCTATTTTTTTTATCTCTTATGAGATAAAAAGAATTTCTTATATATAGACAAAAAGAATTTTCCAGTACGTGAGATACTCTATTTTAGACGTACTGGGATTCCTAATGGTTAACATATCTAGTTAGCATATCTAGCAAGTCCTATATTTTGGCTCCGCAATGGCATGAGATAATGAAGTTAAGTAGTTTAACTAGAAGCAGTATACAATAAATTGTCTTGTATAATTGCGTTGCCCGTAGCGCCAGTATAATTGCGCAACTATAAGCGTATCTACAAGCGAGAATTCCACAGCATTAATAAATACGAAGTACCTTGTTTATTATGCAAGAAAGAATGTCTGTTATATTTTTTCGTGAATGTAAATTCGTGAATATAGGAAAGAAATTAATATTAAATACTTGAACTATTTTAAATTCCTATCTTCAAGAGGAAGGACAGTAACGGTGTATTTTTAGGTTGCACATACATATGTTGTTAAATATCTGAAATGTTTATTTGAAAAGCAATATACAGATCGATACGATACACACCAAATTGTTATATAATTTTATAATATACTTTAATTATGTTTTCCTCTGTCTCCTTTTTCCTTTTAATTAGTTAATTTTATTATGACAGAGAATCAATTGCACATGTCACTTAGGAACGAGCGAATGTTATCGGTAATAAAATAAATAAAATTTCTTTATCTCGAATTATTTAGTTATATTTAAATAATAAAAAATCTAAAAAATATGTTATTTTATCCATATATATATATATATATATATATATATATATATATATAATAATAATATATAAAATCGTAAAAATGAGGTACATAATATAGATTATATTCTATGATTTATCTTTTAACATTGCAAACATATAGTTATCTTTGCCATAACATATCGCCTATATTTCAGACAAATTCGTGTGATTGTACGAGCCAGGATAGGGCGTTCGATCTAGAGAAATATGGACCCTATCTCGACAAGATTCGAGCACTCTTTGTACCCAGTCTGGAATATAGAGTCCGTTCCTTATTGAAGGAATTCGTGTATAGCACAGATTCTCGATGGGCCAAGCAGTTTCCATGTTTCAAGAGATTTGTCGATACAATAGCCACGTGGAAGGGTCATCTGAATAGAATCGCCGAATATGATATCGGTACGATGGAAGAAATAATGAGAAATACCGTCGCACACATAGCAAAGGACGATCTGATCACCTGTTTCCTAGATGCTATTATTTTGCATCATAGGTTGAATAAAGTTTGCCGCGAGCTGGACGCGCTGGGCATCGACGATAATATTTTAAGAAGCTTGACCGTGTGGAATTTTGTTAACGAAAGGAATTGTTTGCTGGATCGCGATTGCTTCACGTACGTTATGGAGAAAGTATAATCGTATATTTCTTATGAAAAATTTGAGATAATACAAGATACATTAAATTGAATCAACAATATTTCTCAAATTTATAAGACTTAGCCGCCATAAGAGATCGTTGTTTACTGCATGTCTACAATTGAATTTTAATTAATAGGAATTTTAATACTACAACGGACACGGGAACTTGTAACGGGAACTTAAACACGGTGATGTCTGCCGACGCGAAAGGATCAGCCAAGTGTAAAAAGATTGTGCCGTTAGCAACGAACATTCATGATGGAAGTGCCGAGCATGTGCAACCAACGACGTCGGAATATCGAGAACACCCACAGATTTTTGATTCGAATCGGAATTTTCTTCAACAGAGAAACGATAATTCGAATCATTATTCTACATGCGGTGCAACTGGATCGCGAGACGATAATGCTAAAAAAGCAAACGGATCTTTAAATGAAGAACCTTGCGAATCAAAGAAGATACGGAATAATTTAAAATTGAAGATAATTGTTCATAAGATGTATCTAGATGATTATGAATGTATGACAGTCTCAAGCTTTAATGTTGTGCCTTTGCCGTGTAAGCCAAGTCATTTAATTAAACGAATTTTCGAAGCCGACCCATCTTTGTCCGAATCATGTCTGATAGTGATGAAGCGAAAGTTTCAAGACAGCATGTACAACGTTTGCTCGTGTCTCAATGATGTTCTCGGAAAATTAAATATTAAATTTATAAATACGTTATGTCTCAATTGCGAAATATATCCCGGATATATCAGCTTCAAGTTGAAGTCTAGCGCATCGAACAATATTAAAAAATATTTCTTCGTCGCGAGAGTACCGATTTGTCAGAACATCCGTAAACGCGCGATTCAACAAGATTCTATTATTTTATCCTCTAATTCAAAATCAAGTACCGAAGTCGACGAACTAAAGTGTTCCGAGCAATGTAAAGACAATGGCACTAGTCTTACATTCGAGCATATCGATGAAGAAACCGAGAAATTTGATAACACGCATTGTTCGCGATCAAATCAAAGCTTTCTACAAGACATAACGATAGACATACATGAAACCAAAGAAAAAAATAGCAATGAAAAAAAGATTGAATGCATAACTGAGGACGCTTCTGAGGATATTACTGATCTTACGATCTGTTCTTGCAATAAATCTTGCGAAGAGATATCTAATGTGACGTCGCACATCGATAATTCTGAAGGAAGAAATGAAGAATACTGTAAGGTTTCGAGTTCAACAGGAATCAATAACAATACCACGAAAGAAAGTAAAGAAAAGATTCTCGAGTCTAATACCTTAATTGCGGAAAATGATACACAATTAATAGACAATGCAAATTGCATGTGTTCATCGTATGAAAATTCCATCGAAGCGAGAAATGGAACTGAAGAAATTTTTAGTAACAAAGACTTGGACAGTTTTTCACAGGCTACAGGTGTTAATGAATACGATTGTACTTGTTCGTCGGATAAGGAAACCAATCCAAGAAATGAAGCAGATAACGCTAATATATGCAGAATTGCATCGTTCGTACAAAATCCGGAGTGTGACAAGCAATTAGTGGAATTAAATTATAATTGCTTTTCGAATAATATCAAAACGATCGATTCCGATGCGCAGGGAGATAATAGCTCATTAAATTCTGCAAAAGTGGAGGTCGGATGTGACTCATGTTGTTCTCATCAAAGCGATGACGTCATTGATATCACAGTTATTGATAACAGTTCTAACGAAAATATTGTATGCACTTTTAAAACATCTCAGGATGATCTTAATACGGTGAAAACTCAAAGTATGGACTACTCGAAAGCAACGCAGGTATCATCCAGAAACAATAATTTGCTGACGGTTTCTGTTCAAACGCCTAGATCAAAGATCATATCATCAAAAAGGACCAATATATCCAAGGACACAAGTTATCCAGAAACAATTAGATTGACATTTGATGATTATGAAAGTATACCTACTATCGTGAAAACTAATGACAAACACAACGAAATTGAAAATTCTTCTATTCCTGCTTTAATTCTTTCCAAGAAAACGAATCGGGTTCTTCCTCATATAAATAACGAAGTTCTCGACATGCGAGATGGAATGCGAGATTTCATTACATCCTCGAAAGGATTTTCCGCGTCGAAGAAAAGACTCAACGGAGACTCAAAGAGTTCCAGTATCTCGACAGGAGAATATTCATGTACGCGAAATCAATCGATATGTGCGACGTCCAACGCATCGTTGTGTCGTTCGTTCGCCACGATAAGTGAATTCACAATGTGCAACAGGCGAGATGAATTCCGAAAATCTTCCGATAAATCGAGAAAATTATCAAATCGTCGTGAACACAGATTAGAATTTCACGGATCATGGAACGGTATTCGTAACGTAACTTCCACGACGATTAAACGCAAAAGAGCACTTCGTAAAAATCCGGATGATGATTATTCTATCGAAATACAACCGCAAACAATATTTGCGATAACAAAATTTCGCAATTCCGTCGATAAGTCTGTAGATAGAATAAAGCGTCTGATTCGTGCGAAGTTGGGAAATATATTGTTCAACAATAAAATAGACAATAACAGTAAAGAGAAAACTTTTTGGAAAAATGAAGAATTTTCTGGAGATAGTAAGAGACAGAAAACGAGTGGCAGATGTATAAGACAGGTATTGTTCATGATAAAAATATCTTATTTATATAAAATAAAAGATTTTATTATTATTACATCAATATTATATTATACATTTACATTTGATATTTTTAAATCGTTTCTCTATTTTAGAAATTAAAAAACTATAATTTGCATTTTTTTTTTTAAATGATATTTTTTCCTATTTCTTTTTTGCAGAATTACAGCATAACTTCGTGCTCGACTTGTAACTGTTGCAAACAAAGCTGTATTAGATCTTCGTGCGAATCTTCAAATGTGATTCTGCCGATCTGCAGAAATAAAGAGAAAAGTGAAAAAGATATGAAGTTTTGCAATCGTAGATCGGTTAATGGTAGCGAAGTCTCGTTGAATCTTCGCTCGATCAAAACTTCTCCGTGGTCTTATAATTTTCTAACTTCTGCAGTTGAAGATATAGAAGAACAAAAATTGAATAGAAACAATCGACCGCGATATAACAAAAGGAAAAAGGTTCAAAATATTATGAATTACGACAGAAATTCCTGTCGATGTAATTTCGGAAATTCGGGGACAAGTATAACGCTTTCTTCGCAATCGACCGAAATGTCTCTTATCGCAAATGACTCGGAATGCTTGGGACATTACACGTGTAAACGGCAAGAGAAGACATGTAATAATGGGCGCATTTGTAAGCAGATTTATAATCGAGATCAGCAGAAAAGCGAGGAAATGAGGCACAAATATAGATATGGAGAAAAAGAAAAGTATCAATATATACCGATTGAATACTCTAATGGCAATAGCATAAAGGGATCATTATCACATACTCGAAGAAAAAACTCTAGAAATATACATAAACAATTTTATGACAAGTCAGAACAAAAGAACGCAAAGAGATTTGCATCTTCAAGAAAGAATCGACAAATATTTGAGAAAGATACGTCAGATTGTTTTGATAATAATAGTCTATACAGGAGACATGTCTTCGCGATTTTAACTGATGCCTGCAACGATTGCATGGATGATCTCGATCTCGACTTTAACTTGGGATTGTTGCGATATGTGGAACTTTGCAAAAGCGTCAAACGTTTGTTGATGAGGACGCTACGATCAGACGACATTTACAAAGTTAGCACAATGCCCGACAGCAATTTGTGAAAGAGTTTAATTCATTGTGATGCTGATAATCTCGTCGATATTCCGATAACGTTGCGTAAGGTTGCGTTGTAAAATAATATTAATAAGTTACATAATGATATTTTTAATATTATTAGCGTCCCATAACTGTCATTTTTATTGTTATCTTTATTAAGATTCTCTTTGCTTGATCCTTGATTTTTTGTGAGTTTATTTTTGTATAAATTAATAATAGTTCTCAAAACATTAAATACTCTAATACGAGTATACTAAACAAAATTATATAACAATTATAAAATGTGAAAAACTACCTTATGATGTTTTTTTTATATAACATATATTTTTAATGTGATAAACATCACAAGATATACTGCTTAAGAATTTAAATAAAAATGTCGCATCATTAATTATTTTATAAACTTTACAAAGGAATAAAAATACTACTCAATAAAAATAAATTAAAAATAAAAGCGTTAGATGAAATTAGACTAAAAACAACTAGAATTGAAAACACTCTCTCTCTCTCTCTCTCTCTCTCATTTAAAATTGGAAATAAAGTCAACTTGAACATACCCTGTGAAGAACTATGACAATATCCGTTTTGTCTCTTGTTAGAGGCACCACGAGATATCATAAGTTTACCGGCAAATCAATTCCCTTTTATGGATTAAGCTGTATTCCCGCAGGCGTTCGTTGGCACGTCAGGATGATAGTGAAATCCCAGTTATTTAAGGCGTCCGGCTCCGAAGAGAAGATAAAGTAGTGTACCAACCATTGAGAACGGCAGCATCCATCCCTCCAGGCAGATCGATATTTCCTGGCAACCACCGGAAAGGGTGTCTATCCCCAATCGCTCTCTGTTTGTAACAATGCAAGTTGCCGAATCCGAAGGAGAATTCTCCTTTCTAAATATGCTCATTTCTTAAATGTCAGGATATCATTACAAAAGATTTGATCAAAGAAATAATTGAAATTTTAAATATCGCGGAATAACTTAATTTTAATGTCAGATGTTTGAACAAATTGAAGTTGATGTTTATGCAAGCACAATGCATTTGAGGATTATCATTGTTTATCGTAATTTTTTGATATATGATTATTGACTTTAACAGAGGATTTGTATAATATATATAATTTTTAATTTTGGAGCTTTATTTATACAACAACATGTTGAATAATAAAATAAATGAAAAAAATATCAACAAAAGCTTTAATTTTATTAATATCTAATTATATTTTTAAAAATGTAATTTGTAAAAAAGATGTATATCTTTAATTATTTGTAATTAGGAAATTCAACGCTAAAGGTCAAATAATCTATTATTAAAATAAAATCAAGCATTTTTTAAATATTGATTTGAATGAGTTAATTAACTTTAGACATTACGTTTATGACACGATTTCTTTATGACTAGTTTAAAATTATTAAACATATCTTGAGTTTTTGAAATAAGCAGCAAAATTTATTAACAATAAAAATATAGTAGCTGTATAAGAACTTGTTGTTTCACACTTATCATAAAACCTATTAGAAAACCAGATCCGATCTACCGTAATCGTCCTACCGTAGATCCTCCCTCGGGATGGGGGTTCAACGATTCTTTAAATGCAACGAAATTCCGGTGTACCGATAATACGTGCGTTATCCGGTTAATACATCAACCTTAACGCCGTTATGATCGTCCTTTTTCCGTGCGTGCCGTTTTGTTGTTGCAAAACTTTCGGCCGGGGTGCACAGGAAGCTCCGCCTGGGGTCGATCTAAAGGGGGTTGTGACCGCTGGTGATTGGCTACTGATATCGATGCGTCGTTCCCGACGATCCAATCCAGTCGCTGCGTCGGGACGCGCTGACGCCGTGGCCAGAAGTCAACTTCGTTGCCGCCGCCACCGCCGCCGCCGCCGCCGCCGCCGCCGCCGCCGCCGCCGCCGCCGCCGTCGACGACGACGACGACGACGACGTCAGGCGACGTCGACGACGTTCTCCGTCGCCGTACCCCGCGCTACCGTTACCCATTCCGCTAACTGTATCTGGACTTAATTATTGGTGAGTTCCGCGAATTTTCTTAATTTACACCGGTTACCTCCCGCTGTTTGATATTTTATTAAATGAATGAAAAGTCGCGAATAACGATTCCATTTTACTCGCGAGCGTAGTCGAAGACGATTCTCTTGTGTGATCCTGATGTGCTCCTTTGAGATAGAATAAAATCTGATAATGGTGAGAACGTTTGTTTTCCAATGGTGAAGACGATTGTGAGATTTTTCCTACTGAAGTGAAGTGATGAGTCTTACTTCTTCAATTTCGAGAGTTAAGATCTATATTTAAGCTTCTTAATTTAACTCTTATCTATCATCCGGAACTTTCTGATTTATATTGAAATTATATGAAGGACAGATTCTGCGAGATTTCAAAATCAAAAAGAGTCGAGAAAAGTGACAATGAGAAATCCCGTTTATTCCGTTTTTTTCCCGTTTATTTCCGGTCCATTTATTTTCGGTCAACGAGACATTCAGGAGATTTCACTTAATACGTTTAGCTGGAAATCTCTCATCGAGTGATTTTGTTGAGTGGAAATTTTGGAATAATCCGAAATATCACAGAGGAAACATTTAACAAGTGTTCTTATTTGTAGAATGATCAGAGTCTAGCGAAGTTTTCCAATAATGCCGATTGTGATCTCTGGATATGTGAAATGAAATTTGCTGTGTGATGATTTGACCGTTGATCGTTGATATTAATGCTTCTTTCTAGTGTCATAATGAATTCATTTAAGCTTGGTGTGCCCGAGGCTACGAGAGATTCTCAGCCCTCGTTTGCCCCATTCTTCTTACGTCGATTAGCTGCAAATTGAGTTTCTGCTTTAATTAAAATTCTCTTTTAATATATTCAAAGATATATCGCGGCAGATTCTACCCCTATTAACGCCCTTGCCTTATTATTTATTCATGAAGAGAATCAATTTCATATATCCTCAATGCCATTTAGATTCTACTCTCTTATTATTTTGTTACGTTTGAAGAAAAGAAATATAATATTGCAGGATATGAATTACAAAATTGATCGTATATTCTGCCGCTATTTATACGTTTTCAATCCAGTCATCAATGAGACTTTATGTTAATTCTTCTTTTTTTAAACGAATAATACGTCTGTTAAGATATTATTAAAATCCATGTTTTATGTTTTTAAGATATAACATCAACGACGAAAAATACGAGGCGCAAAGTCATGATGTACAGCATGAAAGTGTCTAATATCGCTCAATGTCTATTAAGTTGAATCAGCTAGTCTCATACATTCATCAGTCCACCCCAAACACGCACTGTGCATTTTAGTGCCTTTTGTTTGTCACGTGCCATTTTAATATCCGAGAGCCATTGTCCTCCGATGCGCCTCTTTACGATCAGCGCAGCACCCCCGTAACGATTTTTGCAGGCTGAACACTCCATCGTGCAATAACGACGATTATAATCTCTGACGAGGCTATTACAACCGTAGAGTGGAAATATAAAACAACGCGTAATCGCCGTAAAAAATTTTAACTTGGAATATAAACCATCGAGAAACTTTTTAAATAAAATAATATATCAAAGTGTTAAATATAGAAGTGGAATAAAAAAAATATATAAACGTTTCTGACTATGATAGAGGCTATGATAGAGATTTATTCGCATATTATAAAATATAAAAAATAAGAAAATCGTTTTTAGCACTTATATAATTATAAATAAATTTTTAGTTTAAACATGAAAACTTCTGAGCATCTTTCTTTTGGATTATTTTACTAAATTTTGCACGATGAATATAAGCTAAATTGCTAAAATCTGCGCTTATTATATCTTTTTTTAGTGCACTATGTCTTGATTAAGAATAGATTTGATTAAGATTTTACGAGTTAACCGAGATGCGCCGAACGACAAACTTTAAGTGAAAAATATGACCTCAGTGTACGGCCAGCGAAACGTTTCTTCTCACAGTTTTCTACCCTCCGAAGATGCTCCCTCGAGAGTTCGGGGATTAGGGGTGGAGAGACTGCCACTCCAAATAAACACTCCTCTACCCGGGTTTCCCCTGTGCTGTTCTGTAGAGATACTCTATATAGATATAGTGAACTTTTCTGAATGAAGTTATAGGTAGCCGAAGTAACAGCAGCAAAGCGTCGATTATATTTTGAAAGTTATTGAAAATTATCAAATTATCGTTAATTTTAATATCAATTTTGAGAAAATATCTTTAAATTATTGAATATATTAATATTTAAATAATCTTTTACTTCGTAATTGTCTAATACGTTTTATTTATAAAATTATCTAATAAACGTAAAGTATATCTTGAACATATTAAATCTTATACAAGATTATTTTTGTGCCATAGGGGCTGCCAGATAACATCGCGATTATATAAAATCACAAAGCAACCCCAATAATTGGAAAATGTCCGGATTCGCAGCGGCGGGTCTCGTAGCCTTCGATACTTTCAAGACGAAAGCATCGCAGAAATTATCCGGGTAAAATATTGCACATATTTTTGTAACATATTTAATATTTGTAACATTTACGTTTATAAAATATACTACTAGTACCAACATTTTATATAACAAAAGTATTTTGTATTTTTTTTAGACATGATACGCTTATCTTCTTTTTTTAGAACTTGTAAAAGATTTTATGTCATGAAAGTTATTAAAAGATAATTTATCAAATGGACGCCAATTCTTTTGTAGATTTAGAAGAAGTACCACCGGTTACGAGGAATTCGCTTCGTGTGAGGGTAGCAAAGACAACAAGGGATTCGAGGATGAGAGAGGATATAGCACGCAGCCTTCGTTCGAGTCCCTTCCAGAGCCAGAAAGACCACCATTGCGACATATCGATACTTACTGCATGCCAGAATGTCCATGTCTATCGAAGAGGTACACCATCGCGACGCTAGCTTGTATAGGTAAGAGTAGTTAATAAATTGTAAGACAATTTCATTGTTGCAAATGAATGTCATCTCCTATATTATTTTACATTCTGTCTCCATATAAAAGCTTAGCCTTTCATAATAAATTAGAAAAATCACTACAAAATAGAGAAAAACGTGGTGTTGGTGTTATCATAAGTAAAAGCAAAATCTTTTTTGTTTTTTAACTAATCGTATTTTCAGGGTTTGTTATTTCGTTTGGAATGAGATGTAATATGGGCATGGCTAAGCTAGTAATGAAAAATACCACTGACGAAAACAATACCGTCAGGTTCAACTGGACAGTCGGAACAGAAAGTGCCCTTGACTCGTCATTCTTCTGGGGTTACCTGATAACGCAAATACCCGGTGGCTTCTTCGCGTCGTTGTATCCTGCAAACAGAATATTCGGAGCAGCCATTGCAATATCTGCCTTTTTGAATTTGCTGGTACCCAGTGCATTGAAGATAGATCCTATCGTTGACATGGGTGTACAAGTGTTGAAAGGACTGGTCGAGGTAAATACTTGAAAGATTGAATAGAAATAAAGTTAGAACAAGTTAATATAAAAAATATTTTTCTATTATAAAGAATATTTACTTCTATTTATTCTTCTAGGAAGAATATTTAATTTTAAATAATTAATTTCCCTAGCCGCTATATCTATCTAATTACCAACAAGATCTTATTTTCCAACTAATATATTGTATCAAGCTTAACTAAATAAAGACTTTTATATTCAGTTTCAAATAAAATATATAATTAAGAACTGTAATTAAAAATATGATAATTAATAATTTTAATATAGATGAGTGTTATTCAAATCTTTATTCATAATACTTTGATTTTCTCAATTGTAAGCTGTTTTTATTCTTTATAGGGTGTTACGTACCCAGCGTGCCATGGTATATGGAAATACTGGGCACCTCCTCTGGAGAGATCGCGTTTGGCCACGTTAGCGTTTTGTGGATCGTATGCTGCAATGGTGATAGGTATGCCGCTTTCTGGATACCTGAGTTCCTGGTTTGGTTGGACGGCGTCGTTTTACTTCTACGGTAAAAAAATATCCTGTGTATCCAATTACAAATATATAGAGAAAAACATATTAGCCGAAAATTGTAATAGCCAAAATCCATTATTATCCAGCGCAAAAAGCCTTGCTAAGAATATAAATTTCATTTATTATTAATATTTTTAATTATTAATATTATATATTTTTATTTATTAATATTTTTTTATATTTTTATATATTGAACTTTTTTATATATATTGAACATATCGAATCTCATTTACTTTAGACAGCAAAATATGTTTGTTGTAAAAATATTCTGCTGTAGAAGCAAACGCATCTCTCTACAAATTTATTCAGTGATATTTATTTTATTACTTCAACAAGTATAAAGTTGTATAAAAAAGTTATAATCGTGCGAGATTTAATCGATTTTTTCATCGAATGTGTCGAATAATAACGACAGTAAAATTTCTTTACTAAACCGATGATGTTTTCTAATATATAGAGAAAAACATGCAATTTTTAATGATAAATTGTAGGTGTCTGCGGTTTAATTTGGTATTGTTTCTGGTTGTGGTTGGCCTTCGAAAAGCCGTCAAAACACCCCAGTATCTCAGCCCGCGAATTACGTTACATCGAGGATTCGCTCGGTCACGGGGGGGTGCAAGCACCTGTGCCCACGCTGGCAACGACTCCCTGGCGCAAGTTTCTCACTTCGATGCCCGTATATGCCATCATCGTCGCGAATTTTTGTAGATCGTGGAACTTTTATCTGCTGGTACTCTTCCAACCGCGTTTCATGCACGAGTCTTTCGGCATGCCGCTTGTCGAGGTAAATACAATAATAATATAACTTCCTGACTGTTCTACCGTATAAAACAACGATGAATTTCATTTAATATAAATATAAAAAATATAAAAAAAAAATCATGCCTGCTCTATCCTAGATGTAAAATATAAAATATTTTTCATCTCTGAATATTTTGATAGACTGGAGTCATTGGATCGCTTCCGCACTTGCTGATGACGATGATTGTACCTTGTGGCGGTTTGCTGGCCGATCACCTCCGTAAACGTGGCATTATGTCGACGACAAATGTCAGGAAGGTTTTCAATTGCGGTGGTTTCGGTATGGAGGCTCTCTTCTTCCTGGTGGTGGCTCAAGCGACGACGTCCAAAAATGGAACCGCGGCTACGGTCGCCCTCGCGATCGGCGTCGCCTGCAGCGGTTTTGCCATCTCTGGTTTCAATGTCAATCATCTGGACATCGCGCCTAGATACGCTAGTATCTTGATGGGCATGTCCAACGGAATTGGCACCGTCGCTGGTCTGTTGGTTCCTTTCTTCGTGGATCATATCACGGAAAAGAAGGTATGACAAAAAAGAAAGCATTTTATTTCTTAAGCACAGCAAGAAATTAGAGGATTAGAAATTTATAAATTTTAAAAAACATTCCGCAGGATGCACTCAGCTGGCGGAGCGTTTTTATCATAGCTGCGTGCGTTCACATTTTCGGGGTGACATTCTATGCTATTTTCTGCTCCGGCGAGTTGCAACCCTGGGCCGATCCCACTTTGGAAGAACAAAAGAGCTGGAATCCTATGGATGAATTCGGCCAGACGAAACCGCCCGTTCCACCTCCGCCGAAAACCATGCAATCCGAATTCATAGTAAGCACGCTTTTACATTATTTACAATAAATATTTTATTGTAGACTCGTTTAAATTACCGTTGTTAATTGCTTTTTTAATTTGATAAATAAAAATAATCTTTAAACAAATTATTATACTTATAAATATATTTTTACATCTTTTGACGCGTTATGAAACATGACACGCAAAGTAATGTGATCCACTTGAAATTTAAAAATGTTTCTTTCTTAAGTAAGTACTTTCTCGTAATAAAAATGAGGTCGTAAGTATGACTTTCTCTTTCCAGAAACAACCGTCCCGAGATGGAAGCGTCACCGACGATTGGAATACTTACGAACAGCCGCCAGCTGAAAATCACCTGTACGCACGACAGGACAGTAAGGCCTCCGTGATAAACTACGGCTCGACGGAGACCAACAGCAACAATCCATTCCACTCGACGAATCCATTCGCCAGCGACGTGAACGCGTCTTTCGTGCAACCACCAGCAACGGACGACTACGCGCATGACGTCGTGCACAATCAACAGTGGAACTGAGAATGGTCGACCACCGGGTAGAATGATTGGATACGAAAAAAGCAGACTGCTTCCCCGAGGTTGTAGATCGTTCGTATCGTTAGTCAATCCCACATCCGACATCTCAGACATGCCACACATCTTCAAAACTCGCGAAGTCGAACCTATTAAAAAAAAAAAAAATTGCATAGCTACGCAAATAATTTTATTCCTTTTGAAACAAGTCGCGACAATAAAACTCCAATTAAAATCCTTTTATTTTTTTCTTAAGGAGAATTAAATTTAAAGAACGATAATTTAATCTAATTTGAAGTGATATTAAATTCGTAACGATATATATTTTATTTAATATTAAAATCAATATATACATCGTAATTTAAAAAATTAGAAATTATTTTTAATAGAATTAATGGAATTATTTATCGTAAACTGTTGCTTGTGACATGTCTGAGGGTCGTACTTAAATAAGATTTCAAGTAATAACACAATTTTGGATTTTGCGAATAAAGGTAGAGACGGCCAAATGTTGAAATATACATTTCTAAGTTTCACATGCAAAATCCTCGGTAGATATCAAAAAAGGAGGAAAGAAGATATAATTTTTTTTGTTGTGTGCAATACCTAAGAGTGCAGAGAATGGCGCTGTGAGTAGCCACGCAAATAATTCGAAATAATGCAAGAAGCCATTATCTCGCTACATCGTTAATTAGCGAGATCGCACGACAGGATGAACCGCTATTTATTTGCATTATCGAAGATATGCATTTATGATACTATTTACAGTGTGTGATAAACGACAGGAAGTTGATACACGTGCACATACACGTTTATCATTTAGAAAACGACAATAAGTCACTTGCTGCATCGTGCCTAAAAATGAGTTGATAGATGGTTTTCCTAGTTCGAAAAATTTAACTGGGAAAGCTTTCCATTTCTATTCTTCATTTGTCGGTCTTTGTATGCTTTTACTCTTGAAAGTAAAAGAAAAACAACCGATTAAACAAAAAAAACTTGAAAATGCTTTTTATGCAATATACAATTAGCCGCGTTTGAATTTATATTTCTCGAACGTTTAGAGACTGAAACGTATTGTTAAGTCAGGCTTTGCAAATTGCAACGCGACTGTTTTAACTGTTTTAACTGTTTTCGTCGAGATATTACAAAGAGAATGTTCTCTTAATTTATAGGAAGATTAGAACATCAATAGCCCCTAAGAGATTCTTCAATTTTATAAAATTATGAAATCTTTTTAGGATATATCCTAATGAAATCAAGTGTAATATTGGCAATATTAATTTCTTCTATAAAGAAAAGAAAATTATTAATCGCAAGATGACGCTTATCAGCGTCGACGAGATCCAAGTGTGTCCTAAAATGACAATAATTCAAACCTTCGCGAGACAATAATTCTCTCCGTGGACAATAATTAACGGCGAGGTTTGAGAAAACGGATAATCGTGAGAGATCTCGGTGCGCGCGACATAGCTCAATCGCTGAAACTTTTAGGTATTCCCAATTTTCCGTGCGTGACTCGTTTAGTTACTTACGTGAAATAATAGAAACATAGCAATAAAGGAGAAAAATTGTGCGAATCAATATAATAAAATCACGTAAATCGCTTGCCGAAACGTAAAGTTACACACAAAGGTGTGCGCACATCTTTACGCACACTCAGATAAAGTACAATTTCGATTTGACGATGTTGTCCATAGCGTAGATATTCGAAATATTTTTTTAAATATCCATTACACATGTTTTAAGTATTCCTTCACTTTCTGATGTAATATATATATATATATTGATCTGCGAATTGGATAAAATGAAAAGAAAAAAGATTTACGAGATCAAATAACGGTAACATTAACGAAGATTTAGAAACCTTTATATTACGAGTTATTTGAATCGATAAAATATATCTATAAATGTTTGCAAGATATCTATGTTAAATGGATGTCGCGTGAAGTAAATATAAAAGGCGCGAGAAAACAGAAAAAAGAAATAAAACGCAGCTGTTAATTAATTTTTCATTGATATTAATAATTAGAAGCAAAATGCGAATTGTTTGAAAGATAATAAAAAAATAATTATAGATAAAAATCGAATTCACTAAATTGAAATTTTCATGTAAATTTTCTTAATATTCGTGATTAATTCAAAGATATTTGCATAACGGAACAACTTGAAACGTATGAAAGTATTCGTAAGAAAGTGATAATGAAATAAAAACCGTAAGAAAGTATAGTTATTAAGTAGACAAATCATGAAAGTAAATATACAGAGATCAAAGCAAGATTGAGATATAATTAGGGAGAAAGTATATATTATACATTGTCTAGATGTATTTCGTATACATACATATATTATATACATATATATAATCTATATATATATATATATAAGTATATACATACATACACACATCTTTTATTGTATACATATGTATGTATGTTCTTCATGATTTGCGCATGTGCGCAATCGAAGATAAAACGGGACACATACAAGGAAACAGAATAAAAAGCATGGGGAGTGTTGTGTCGGATTTTCCCGGCGAGTATAGTATAAAAAAAAAAAGAAGATTAAGCTCTCAAACTGATTAATTTCGATTTATGTTTTATTTTTTATATCTAAAATATATATGCTATTCAATTATCCAGCTACTTGCTGCACGAGACGACACTCTTTGTAAAGACATTCATATTTCTTTTAAAAAATTTTTAAGGCTAAATGAGACTTAAATATTACAAAAACTTTTCAATTTTAATTAACGAAAAAAAGAGATTACTTGCAAAAATTATTTAAATTTTTAAACAGATATCAGTTTATGTTCATGTATGGAACAAAGTTTCTTATTCTATATTTTGCGAACAAATCGGAGAATATCCTCTCTGAATATCTGCAATATAAAGGTGGACAAGATCGAAATTAAACAATTTGAGGAGGTTTAATTGATAAATCTAATCTGACACGCATATAAGTAAGGTACGCGATACGATATTTAACTAATGGCAACATCGTGATACATGCGTATTGAATGCCCAGTGCGTGTTTGGGCTTACGAATATTCGAATAGCCTAGATTTTCCGTAGCTAAGGGAGATCGACAAAATTAGTCAATTTATGCGAGACCTTTGTAAAGATACAGATACCTACCGGTATAATCCATATATATGATAACATATATATATTGTATCGGCAATATTTGTCTCGTATTCTTCGTCAACAAATAAGATTATAATATATACATATGTATTATTCGTTATTATGTTCGTTACATAAATATTAATATAATTTGATATATATATATATCAGTTAGGCGTGGTATATTAAATACATTAATGATAAAACAATACGTGTGGTGATCGAGATATTTGAGAATACTCGATCAGTAAATGATACAATTTCCTCGTTACAAACGTTAGGGTATAAAGCCGCGCTTCGAGATATTAATATCGGGCGCTTGTAACTGTACGACAATAATACTTAAATGAAAGCCTGATGCACATGTTATGACAGAGCACCAGACTTACAGTTTAATTATCTGTTTGCTAGTTGCGCGATTTTATTCGGTATCTACAGATATATTGGGGTGTTTGAGAATCAGTGCGTTTGCTAAGTGGGTTTCTCGTTATTAGCAAGCAAATTTACTTTTTTATAACATAATGATGTATATAATCAAAATAGAAATAAAAATTTACAATTTTTGAAAACAAATAATAAAAGAAAAGGAAATTTCAATTTTTAAAAGTGATTTGAAAAGAATTTCAATATAAGATAAACTCTTTGGTAGGTAAATCTTTTAGTAGTTTTTCGTAAACACGATAACCATGTGCCTAAAATAACAAGATTGTAAAGACAACAAGGTAGGCTCTTATTAATTTAGAAAAGATTTGCCAATTTGTAATCCAATGATGTTTATAATATACAGGAGAAAGTTATTTTAATTTTGAACGGGGAGCACCGCCCCTTGTTCACCATGTAGACGACTATTACCAAACACCCCATGTATGTAACGGTAATAATCTCACTTCGTAACATCAGTGACAATACAGGACAGGATAATAACAAGTCACGATTAGATCGTTCGTATTAATGATGACATGAAATGATGATGCCGCAACGCGCATTTTTTCGCGTGGTGCATCGACCGCGAACGCTTTGCTTTAAAAAAGACACACGATCATAGAAAGTCGGAAATACTTGCAACACATACTTGAAATTAATGATATGCACGCGATAACTGTCATTTAAACGTTGTGTGTTGTCTGCGTCACTGCCGCGTCAAGAGAAACGATTCGTTGGCATATTAATATTGGGAAAAGAGCGGATCTGAGCGACAGTGATAATTTACTTGAAAATAAAAAAAGTAAAATACTTTCTCTCAACGCAATTGGATACGAAACAATTATCGTTACTTTTTGTAAAAATATGAGAAACAGATATACAAAAAGTAAGAGAGAGAAAGAAAAATGTAAACATTCAATTATAATTAAAAAAGATTTCACTTTAATTTTGCAAAAGAATCTAAATTGTTTATTTAGAAGAGGACATTTATCATATTTTAATTTGAATTAATTCAGATATTTAAAATGATTATTTAATTGTTTTTCATATTTTTTTAGGAATTTGTGCCTTTTTATTTATATTTCTTCCTTGTAATCTATTGATTAGTAATATTATATTTATTTATTCTTTTCATATTTCCTACTCTTAAACTCTATATTTCTGTTCTAATCGTGACTACGGTAATATGTGAGAAATAATACCGTATAATAATACCGATTAAGGATCTATGTATAAATATATTCATCATTGTGTATAGTAGTGACTGGCCTAACGTTATTCATGACTTTATTCGCTAAACCAGGAAAACTTTCTGGACTCGAGATATCTAAAAATCATAATTATTACGATAATATCTAAGATAAGTTCTAATGCTGTTCGAACAATAATACTGATACTAATACTTACATATATACGTATAGCTTCAGTAATAACTTACGACAATAAATAAACGAAACGCAG